GTACTTGTGGATAATGTCAGCCTCATTCTCTAGATTAACACTATCTTTAGCTGTGATTTTCTTGCTCTGTTTTATCCTTAAACTTCACACAAGTTTGAAATTGACCAAGTTTAATAGAAATAAACAGAAGTTAGGATTTGGATTAAAAAATAAAATTCTTTTTGCAATGCTCTCATTAGAATGGTCTTCTACGTAATAGTTTAGTTGTATAAATTGTAATCCATTATTTATTCTGAAAAATTTCTGAGTTATCCTGTAGATTAAATTGTCATCCTGTGCAGTGCTGGATGTTTATTGGGAAAGTAGATGCAGAGAAGGGGAAACAAGTGACAGTGTTATTGAAAGAAATTAGATATATTTGCATAGCAGTAGGAGAGAGTGGGAGATCTTGGTTCCATAGATCTAGATGGTATAAAAGTTTCTTTGGTTCTGGTCAGTAGACTCATAAATACAGGCTTGGAAGTCTTACTGGAATGTATTTTAAGGTCAACAGTGTAGCTCCTCTAAGATTAATCAACATCTTTGGAAATTTATCTGCTAGGCATAGTAATTTGTTAAATTCTTGTTATTTTATTGAGTACTGATTTATAATTAAATGAAGACTTATTTTAACAATCCTAAAAAACAAACACAATAGCACTGGTATAAACATAATGTTTTTTATTTCTACAAGTGATTTGGAGAGACACTTTCCAAAACAGCAAATCCTCAAGCAATTGCAGTCTCTCTGTTTCTCTAAAGACAAAATATTGTGAAGGATTCAGGACAATGCAGGATAGTTTCTCTGAGACCGTATCATGTAGCATAATTGGAGTAGTATATAATCTGAATATTGTCTTCTGGATACCTTGTGTGCAATGTACAAATATCAGTATGAAAATGCTTGCTAAGTGTACTGGGATCATTCAAAAATTAAAAATAATTAAATAAAAAATTAAAATAAAATATATCTGGTACCTATCTGATCTACAAGATTCATATTTTTACTTTAAATACCAAATATAATCTCTCTGTCGTTCTCTACAGTCTAGTAAAAAAACCCCAAACAAACAACAAAACCTAACAAAACAAACACAAAAGAAAGAAGGAAATAAGATAAAAAGAAAAAGAGGATCCTTTGGACAAAACATATATACATAATTATTATTATTTTTCTTCATACTCAAGGTCACTTTGAAGGGGAAAGAAGATTAAAGTAATCTTTACTGTTGGCATGACAATAGTAGAAACCTTAAGAGTTCTGTAAAGTTGTTATATGTAATTTTAAAATTTTCATAAGTCCTTATTTCAGTACACTGATTTATAAGTGAAATGGCCTGAAAACTCCCCACTACATTCTTTAAAATGTTTAATGTAGGTTCCAAATCCTTAGTACCGACTGTTTTGTGCTGTAAATGTGTTTCTCTGAGTCTACTTGACTTGGTGATGTAGATGCTGTCTTTGTTGACTACTGTACTTTTTTGTTAGACTTCTACATGATTATTATATCAGAGAGTTGGATTCCTTATCTTTTTAAAAGCCACATTCAATTTATGGTCACTAAACAAATGTATTTGATTTTTGATTTGGGTAGTATCTTTATTGAGTGAATCAAACAGTTTTGAGCTACATCCATGGTCAAAAAAACTGGATCCTTAGTCCTACTATTGAGCTTTTCCAGTTCTTAAAGTACTTCCAGTACATAAGAAATTTTCAGCTTGAAAGAGGCAGGATTAAGTAATAGCAAAAATATAGATGATATCCTATTTAACTTCATATTTTTATTCCCTTTGAAAGAACTTTTCCTATTTTGCTTTTGAATATAAACTGAGATCACTTTTTTAAAAGGAAAATAGCAAAACTGGAAGTGGGAAAGCTCTGAGTTTTGTAAAAATATTATTAGTTTTGGTAAATGTAGAAGTCAGTTTACTCCTATTTAACAGCTAATGTGTGCTTGTGAATTTAACGTGACCATATTTCTTTTTACATTGTGACAGCTGCATGTGGAGGAAACCTGACAGGCCCAGCAGGAGTTATTTTATCACCTAACTATCCACAGCCTTATCCTCCTGGGAAAGAATGTGACTGGAGAATAAAAGTAAACCCTGACTTTGTCATTGCCTTGATATTCAAAAGGTACCATTTTTCCATGAATGCCTCTGTTTTAAAGAGTTTTAAACGTCACATCTAAAAATGGCATTATTTGTAATTTCTTAAAGCTTCTAATTATATTCTCTGGCTGAGTTCTGGAGCATACATCTAATATGTGCTATATCATTGTTTCCAAACAATGTAAAATAAAAAAGTATAGTTAAATGGTACTTTTTCTACCAAATATATCCCTGAAGAATAAAACTTTTTGTGACATATGAAATAAAAATCTTTGAAAAAGAATGTCAATCTGTAGAAATGCTAAATTTATGCTATCGTGCCTAATAGTAGAGACTTAAGCTGTAGCAGAAACTCTATCTGTAAGTAATTCTTAAAGGTTTTTAGAAATACAAACTAAATATACTTTACCCGAAGAGCACAGATCAGGAAAAAAAAAGTTCTGCTTAGTCAAGAAATAAAAGACATTGAGATAATATTGTATCATAATTATAAAGGAGTTTCATTTACTCAGTGTTCCGTAATCAACCTATATGTGTTGCATGGATTTTTACCACAGATTTGAAGTTCAGGGATATAGACATATTAATGTGTTCAGTTTATCATTTCTATTTGAATCAGTCCTATATAATCACCTTGCTTGCTATATCTATGGATGCAAATGCAAATTTTTTTTCATTTTCTGATACTCTGTCCTAAGCATGATTTTAAAACTAAGAATGGTAACATTGCTGTTGACTTCAGTGGAACGGTAATCAATTGTGATTGTTTTAAAAAGAGATGGTGGCATGTTCAGAATTTTGTTTTGTAATATTTGCACCTTTTCTTTGAAACAAAACCATCAACAACCAAACAACACTTAAATAAAAAAATAATCCAGTTTCTTTCATTTTTGGATTTCAGTGTGTTTTCTAAAAACTATTGATCGACACAAAATTATAGAACAAAAGAATAAGGTACTTGAAATTATATAATAAGGAATATGATAATTCTGTTCTTCAGGTATTTGATCAAATAGAATTAAGGGATGAGAATAGTACTCCACTAATTACACTCTTGAAGATCTCACATGATAGGTGTGGTAAGCAGCATATTTCTGTGGATTGCCTAAATAATCAGCTCAAATGCTCCATTTCAAACAAGATGAAAGAAATTTGCAATTACACAGCATTCAGATTTGTGAATTCTATTTTAAGGACTACAGATATGAGCAGTATAATGAAATTTGCCGTTTATGCTATACTTCCAATAAATTTACTGAATAATTGCAGCCCAGTAATACACACACTTTCCAGTAGCTGCAGTTAGATTAACAGTTCCCGTGGTCTTCTCTTACACCCTTCTTGTAAATAACAATAACATTGGCCAGCTTCCAGACAGCAGGGACCTCCCTAGACTCCCAAGATCTTTGGCAGATGACCAAGAGCAGTAATATTTCTTTGACATCTGCAAAATCTACTTTCCTAACACACCATTTTCTGTTTATTTTACCCAAACTTTTTCATTCCTAGGCAATATGCTACACCTTGGTGCTGTGCTATTCTAAAGGAACTGGCTTTAAGGAGACAGTAGTGTCTGCATAGGATGAGAATTTGGACTGAGAATGCAATATGCTTTGTAAAATGTGTGTTTGCTACAGAAAGATCAAAAATCATTACTCTATACAATTTGCTTTGCCTTGGTTGCGGTCTTTAGTATTCTATTCCTTTCAACTCTTCTAACTCTCAACTAAAAATTATCTGTCTTAGCAAAATTTTCAAAACTTTTTTCTGGCTTGTCTTACCTCTTGAAAATAGGGCATAAAATATCATTCATTATATGAAGCCATTTCTGTTTGACATTACAGAGATGTTTTCTGCTGATTTCTTAGGTAAAGATATTATTCCTTTTGTCTTACATAATTTGTAAAGATTTGCATCTAACAGTGTTAATTGATGTAATAGAAAGAAAAACTGCTGATCATCACACTTGGGAAAAAGAATTTTTTATATTGTTTTACAAAGATAGATAGAAAGACAAAAAATCCACTCACCTGACTTAGTCCCTGCCTTGCCTGTTTTTAATGTAGTTTCACTTTTCTTATGTTTTCTTCAATGTTCCTTATATATCCTTTTATCTAGCTCTGTATATGTTTCTCATATAAATGCTTGATATTTATCTTTATGTTGTCTCGGAACTCATCTCAATTACAATCCTCTGAAAGACATTCCATTCATAATATTTTCATAATTATTTTGTAAAACATATAGATGTCATCAAATATAGCATAATATAGATGGTTTAGTGAGAATAATGTTAATTCACATTAATTTATCATAATTGTCTGGTATAATTTGGGTAAGAACAAATGCAGTTCCAGGATAGTGTTCTATTTATGTGAAAGCATCTTGTTTCTAAAATGGTAAACTTATGTTTGTAATAAAAGGATTCAATATCATCCAGTTTATCCTGCTAAAAGCTGGACTTTAAATTTAAGCTGGTTGCCTGGATCATTCCTCTGAGCACTGGTAAGAGGCAACCTCCCCAAAGCAGGTGATTCTGTTATCTTAAGTATTTAAGATAGGTAGGAGGATATGCATGAGGGATTTTGGGAAGCTGAATGTGTTCCAATCAGTGGCAAAAAGAACTCCATTGAAAGTTAGTAAATTTTCACTGTGAATCATATTTAAATAAACATTTATTTCTGGAGAAGAAAATGTGTTAGGCAGAAAACTGGCAGCCACAGTCATAGTAATGTTTAACTCATTAAAAAGAAATGAAGACTTAATTCTCTTTTCCCTTTATTTCCAGTTTCAACATGGAACCCAGTTATGATTTTCTACATATTTATGAAGGAGAAGATTCCAACAGTCCTCTAATTGGCAGTTTTCAAGGCTCACATGCTCCTGAAAGAATAGAGAGCAGTGGTAACAGTCTGTTTCTGGCTTTTCGCAGTGATGCTTCTGTTGGAATGTCAGGATTTGCCATTGATTATAAAGGTACTGTTCTCATCATAAGCTATGAAAACATGAACAGAAAAGAATGTTATTTAGTATTTATTGAGACTCAAATCCATTTATTTCTATATGTACTCACACAGAACTATCAAATAACTTGTTATATTGATGTAAGTTTTAAAAATCTTCTGTTAATATATGAAGGAAATCAGAAATCCTATTTCATGAAATGTCTTTCACATCACTTATGCATGTTTTCATCTTGCAGAAAACAAAAATAGGCAGAAGATGTACATCAAAATTAACATTTGGAAAATAGTTTTAGAATAATGGAATTGTCTTACTCAAGTAGACTACCTGACTGCTTCTTTCTTGTCAATACACACCAATACACTTTCCTTCCCACTTTGTTTTGAATTTTCAAATGCGTTTTTGAGTAAATACTACCGGACAGTATTTTCATTTTTTGCGGGGGTGCCTATTAGTAGGCAGAGATTGGGTTACACTGCCTATTTATTAAAAGCAGACACTCATTGAAAATTCCAGTTTTTTTCTGATCCCAGATATTATCCCTGACTTGATTATAATCTTTGCTGAGATTTATCAACTGTTTTTCAGCAGCAAAGTTGCTGCCTCAGCTTCTTATTCTTGGCAATGGAAGCAAACCATATTAATGTACATGTTAGAAATGAAGGAGTAAAAAGATCTAAGGAATACAAAATAATATACCTATAAAAGAGAAGGGAGTGAAAAATAGCTATAAAATCATTTACATATTTAGTCTTCATCAGTTGTCCAACATAATGCATTATTCTCCATGTTGTCATGGTTCTTTTTCACAAAGTAATTGTCATATTGCCATAGATAAAGTCTTAGACTATTCCTGTCAAAACAAAATATCAAAAAAATGGGAAAACTATTTGTTCTGGGAAGTCTGTAAGACCTACAAGGAAAGAGAGTGGAAAATTGAGCAGGAGAAAAAGACATAAAGATGCCCACTGAAAATGTGCATACACATTCTCACTGTATGTCTATTTTTTGTTCTCAACATAAATGTGGCTTTATGCAACTGGAAGTGAAACGAAATTATAATTAAATAAAAGATATAAGAACAGAACACTATATTAAAAAAAGTTATTGCACTCAATGGACTGTGTGTTTGTGCCAAATAATTATTTTTCTTAAGTACATTATTCAATATTTTATATAGAATTTTTAAAATGATTGAATGGTTGAGTTGGAAGGTACTTAAAGATCATCTAGTTCCAACCCCCCTGCCATGGGAAGGGACACCTTCCACTAGACCAGGTTGCTCAAAGCCCCATCCAACCTAATCTCACTTCCAGTGACGAGACATCCAAAACTTCTGTGGGCAATCTGTTCCAGTGCTTCACTACTTTATGCTGAAGGATTACTTCCTTATTCTAATCTAAACCTTTCTTTCAGTTTGAAGCCAGTCCCCCTTTTCCTATCGCTGCATGCCCTTGTTGCCTTCTCCATGTCCCGGGTAACCAGGGGGACCCAATTCTTTCTGGAGAGGACCCATATTTTCCCTAGTCTTCCTTTTGTCACCAATGTGTATATAGAAGTGGTGAATTCCAGAAGTGACCATTTTTCTTCTACAATACTGAACTTTATTGGAGTCATTCAGCTTTCGGAGAGTTCCACTAACAAACAGTAGGAAGAAAATGTTTTTTTTTAGATCCTCTCATTATCATTTCCTTGACCAGATAACCAATTTTATGAAAACATCCATTATCTTGTAATAAGCATACAGAAACACAAATAATACATTAATAAGCTGTTTAAAAACTTAAACTGACTGGAAAAAAACCACATGGATTATTGTTTCTTTTTTGTTTTTAATTTAAAATGAAAGTGTATCTAGATTTACTGTTGTTCATTTTAACAGAAAAGCCACGGGAAGCTTGTTTTGATCCTGGAAACATCATGAATGGGACAAGAATTGGAGCAGACTTTAAGCTTGGTTCAACTATTACTTATCAGTGTGATTCTGGATATAAGATTATTGATCCTTCAACTATAACATGTGTAATTGGTGCAGACGGAAAGCCAGCGTGGAACAGAGCATTGCCGTCTTGTAATGGTATGTATTCTTTTCTTACCATTTTCTTTGTCCACTCGGTGGATTCAATTTCTCAGACACTGAGGCTGTTTAGACTATTTCTACATATATAGCTTGTATAAAAAACCTGAGGTAAAAAAATAAGAATTATGATGAATGTTGGACTACAGTTTAGTCAAGTATTTAAAAATATCTTTAAACTCAGGAATCAACAGATGTTCATATGCTGACTGCAATGTAATATGTAAGTTTCTTTAGACACACAGTATTATTTAGAATAGATATCACAAGCATCTCAAGACTGTGTTAATTGTCACCTTGGAATAAGAATTATGGTTACTGAGGTAGAAAATTAAAATGACATCTCAGAGCTATGGCTATTTAATTTATCCTCTATCCCATGTTTCAGCATTTGTGTTTTATATATATATATATATATATATATATATGGAACAATTTTAACAAATCAAAAGGGAGTTACATATATCAGTTAATTACCATAAAGTACTGATTTATTTATGTTGAAAAATTACCTCCTGCAAAGTTTTAGGTGTTTAATTATAGGAAAAGACAATTTAGAAGGAAACATTTCTACAACTCCATAACTTTGGAACTTGTTTTAAATTAAGTGACGTACTTTCATTCCAGTGAAGTGTTCATTACTTGAGAATTTCGTCTGGTAAATAGAAGATAGACTTCATGGTTTGGTTTCTGGTATCCTCAAAGCAAGAAGAGAAGGAAATACGAAGATTTTAAATTCATGGCATAAACTGATTCCTTATGATATTCGAATTTTACCTCAGCCACATAATCCTATTCCACCTACTGACAGATCAAACTTGTTATCTTGTATCATTACACTGGATTTTTGAATAATTCATACAAGCCGCTGAGAGAAGACATGGATTTGTAATATTAATTGCTGCCTGTATAAGGAAGTTAAACTTGCAGAGATATTTCAAGTGTGATTTTAAAGACCTGTCAGGAAGCAGAAAGAGTAGGGTTTGGAGCAACCTGCTCCACCAGGGCTGGGAGCCGAGGATGTCCAAAGCACGTGCTATGCCCTCACTCACTAGGCACAGTTGCACAACACGAGCCAGGTCAGTAGAGCCAGGAGCTGGTAACAGGGTATAACCCTGTGCATAGCCCCAGATCAATGACCTCGTTGTCCACCTGGGCCACAGATCCTTCTCAGAGCTACTTTCCAGGCAGTAGTTAAATTATAATCTGCTATATGTAAGATTCCCACAGTAGGGTAATGTTGATTTACTTTGTTCCTTATATTAGAATGACATTTTCCTTGCTAATTCTGTAGCTATAAAATGTTTCTCTTTCTCTTAATCTTTCTGTTCTTTTTTTATATACATATGAAGCTGAAGATTTTTTTTATACATATAATCTATGTGCTTTTTTCATAATCATCTAGGAAACTATGAAAAACAAGGAAATTCAAGCATACATTCACAAAGTAGAATCCTTGGCATTCTGTGCAGGGTACTGTCAGTGTATCTATGTATTCCTCTGAGACACAAGATAATTGTATTGTGCCATTTATTTATGTAGTACTATATTTTTTCCTGAGCTTTTTTAACATGGAAAGATATAGAAAGATATTAAAATAAAAATCCACGTAAATTCTGTGTTTACAGTACCTTTGAATTAAATAATTTATACTTCCAGTCCAATGTGAATACTTGTAGTCCAGTAAAACTCTCATGTACTCTAGTTTTAAATAAATTATATTAAAGATTATATCCTGAGAAAGAACCATTATATATTTCAGTACAGGAAAACCAAACAAAAACAAAACCAGTAAATTGTCGCTTTTTAATCTTTAGCCTTTTTTTTTTTTTTCGGACTTAACCATTACAGGTAATCTAATTAATATAAGATGTTTCTTTCTGTTTTTTCTAGCACCATGTGGAGGGCAGTATACTGGATCAGAGGGAGTTGTTTTGTCACCAAACTATCCTCATAATTACACTGCTGGACAGACTTGCCATTATTCAATTACTGTCCCTAAAGAATTTGGTAAGAATTTCTCCTATTGATTTATCAATCATTATCATCGTTCTGCTGGTCACGTGTCCTTTATGTGTAATAATGATCTTAGATTTTCAATATATTGCCAATTATTTATAAGAAATAAATATAGACATGGAAATTAATTCTAGGGTTTTGACCTTTTACTTCTCCCTAGAGTAATCAATAGATTTCAGCTAAACCATCTCTGTCTGCTATCCAAGTGTATTCTGAATACCTTCGTCATCATCATGCATTCAAGCTTCATGCAAAATAAAATCAAGTGTCAAACTCCAAGTTTTTATATTCCTCTTATATTTTACCTTTTTTTTTTTCATGTTTTAACAAGGGCAAGATGAGTAGAATCACATTTAAGAGGTACAGTGGAGGGCATGAAAGCAATTTTACACAAAATACCAGAAATGAGAAATCACAAAACTGATTATTTCAACATGTCAAAATACTTGGACAAAATCTCTAAAACTTGTGTAATTGTATGTAGGGTGTGGTTTTCTGAAAAACAGGTTTTTTTCTAATTCAAATCCAGACAAATAAATATAAGATCAATCTATTTTACTACTTGCTTACCAAAAGAATGAATTTACAACAATTAAATGCATTTGGTACCTTCTATATGCAATAAAACCTGTAATGTCTCAGATGTAAATAAAATACAGGTGGCTAGAGTGACAAAGTAATATTTTCATTGCCTTGGTTTTACTGGGTTACTGCTTCATGTTTCAATTGCTATATGATATTTGAATTCAGTGAACCATTTGATATTTACTGGTGAGATGTTGTATAATTAAACGATTTATTAATACACTTTTAATTATGTACAGTTGAAGTTCAAATTAAGTGTAGCAGTATGACAAAGCTGGTAACACATTGGTATTTTTAGTATTTGATCAGCTTTTATAACTTTCTGATAAAATATGTACTAATGCAAAGTTTAAAAAATTGACAAATCAATAAGTTTAAAAAATCTTGCATTAAAACCAGAAAAGCAACTAATCATATGTGATAATAGATTCTACTTAATAGATGCTACTTAATAGTTGCTACGGTTGGTAATGTCATTTTGGTAAAAACTTTCCTTTTTAGATATTATGTTTCTTTATTCTCATATGTAGCTAGGCAATAAAGAATAAAGTTTATTTGAATGGACATCATAGTTTTGGGGAAATTGTGATTTAATAACATTTTTTTAAAATTAAAAAATAAGGAAATATTGAAAAGCAAATAGTATTCTTATTACATAAGTTTAATGCAACTGTTCTATCACAATACAAAATAAAGTAAATTAGAAAGATCCATGTAGAAATTCACTGGTAACTAAGACAAGCAAAAATATGTCCTTAAATTTGTTTTTAAAGACTAAGTTCTTTTATCTTCTCTCTTTTTATTTTTTTTCTCTCTTTTTTTTTTTTTTCTGAATGCAGTTGTATTTGGACAATTTGCCTATTTTCAGACAGCTTTGAATGATGTGGCAGAATTATTTGATGGAGAAAACTCTCAGGCTAGACTTCTCAGTTCACTGTCTGGATCTCACTCAGGTAATTAATAAAGTAAAAGGAGTATACATTTCTCACACAACTCAGCATGAAAAAAAATAAATCAAGACAGTGTTATGAATTTCATTTGGAAATAAAGTCATTGGAACAGGATGCCAAGGGAAATGGAACACCCTTCTAAATCTTTGAATCAAGAATTTATTCTGGAACATATGGTTTAGGCAAGAATTGATTACGGGGGTAAGTGTAGAAATAATTGAATTAAATTCTCAGAATTCTATGTAAGAGGGCAGACTGGATGGTATAATTATCTTCTCTGCCTCTAAATTTTTTGAATTATACATCTACATATTCTGAATGGCCAATTTAAACACAAATTACTTGTATTACAAAATGCAATTATCTGTATGCAAACATGCACCTAGACTAAAAACAGGTCAGCTGTTGCATTGAGGTAACTATAGCAAAATGATGACCTTATGAAATTACAATTAAGCTTATACGAATTTCAGCATGGTCAGAATTTCCAGTGTATGCATACATATAGTGACTGTGTGCATCTCCAGCGGATAATATACAAATATATTTCTGCAACTGTGAATGTTTTGTCATACAGTCCTAGTATTTAGGAAATTTTATATATGAGTTTAAGATTTTTGCAATCCAGGGCTTTTCATGGCTTCTTGGTTTTAATTTTGAATAACTGGAGAGATACTTGATTTGAAAAGAATGTAATATATCTATTTGATTTTTAGAAAATATATTATTATTTAAAAAACTCAACTCGATATTTTCCTCTGGTGAATCCTAGCTATTTCTGTCATAAGAAGAGTTCACAAACAAATTTTAAGATTTGTTTAATTACTTCCAAAATTTCAGCAGCAAAACAAATTAAAATTTTTAAATTTAAGAGAAAAATCATCCAAGCACCAAATTTTACTGCATCGAACTTTTATGTAAGTTGAAGCTAATGTTTGTTTTCACAGAAGACATTTGAAAATATTTGAAAAAAATCTTACACTTGTGGTTTTTATTTATTCCTAGTGACATATCTGATTTACAGTGATCTAGGGTAGGATTGTGTTTCATGGAATCACTTGTTGCAATAATATAAAACTAAACAAAGTGAAAGAATTATAAATCCTATTTACTTAGTAATATATTTTAAATTAGTGCATTATCATTAATTTCAGTAGAATTTCCTAAAATGTGGGTTGATACAGTCCAGCGAGAATAAAAACAGTAGTTACATGGAGTGGAATCCTTGCAGTGTAGAAGTACTGCACTTTTGTCTGTAGTGTTTCATTACTGAACTCTTATCATGACTCCTGACAGATCTGTCAGGAAAGGAGATAAAGTATATTAAACATCTTTATTAATCCTCAAGTCAGAAGTAAAATTTGCAAAACTATAAGAAAGTTAATAATATAACATAGTTCATGTGTGATCATATATTTTATTGAAGCCACTACATAAAACAAGTCGTAGATTTTCTCTCTCACATTTCAGTTTTAGTCTTAAAATGGTAAACATCCCATGAAGATCCCGGTGGCATTTTTCAAATATTTTTAATTGTTTAATGTGTTTTTCAAAGCAAAGTAAAGCTTTCAGTCACAGAAAAAAGTTCACTAAAAATTCTTCTAATGATTTTGACCTCAGGTGGCAGTAGGGTTCTCGAGTCAAGTAGTTTATTTGAGCTCTAGTTCCAAAACCTGCAGTAAATGTCAGAAGGTTTACGTTGTTCAATCAGGAAGTCTTTTTATTTTGACGAAAGTTTTCAAACATCCAATGGCAAATTTAATTTTGTACAATGTTATTTATATTTTCTTTAACTACAGAGGAAAACATAAGACTATGTATTTTAACAGTATATTTGATTCCATACCGAAGAACTGTAAGTCTTGTTTCTCTTTTGTGTATATAATTTATTTTCTGTTTCCATTTGTAGGAGAGACATTGCCTTTGGCTACATCTAATCAAATTCTTCTGAGATTCAGTGCTAAGAGTGGGGCATCAGCCAGAGGATTTCACTTTGTTTACCAAGGTAAACATGTCTGCTTTTGCTGTAAGACCCTGGTGCCAGTTTCATGATGTGTATTATCTTTAATTCTTCATAGGTCTTAACGTATTGCTTTAAATGAGTATAGTCTTAACCTTTTTCCAGCA